TCAAACACATTTAAAACCCAATTCAAACACATTTAAAACCCAATACAATAATAATGACTTATTGATTATTTTAAAAGTGTATATTTCTACCTGCTGGAATTTTCTCCTTTGAATTAGCTAGCCCTTGCTTTAGAAGAAAATCTTGAACACTTTCAGCAATAAAATCAAACACCTGCAACAGAAAAGTTATTTTGTAAGATCGTTTCCATTTATTTTTATTATCTTGAATTGCCAGAATGAAATTTGGTTTAAATGATTGAATCACCAAATCAAACAATTGAGCAACAAGTTTCCTTATATTAGTAGTGTTTCTTAGGATAACCTTTAAAAAACTGAATGAATTTAAAATGGATTAGAAACATATAATTCGAGCATATTATATATATATATATATATATATATATATATATATATATATATATATATATATATATATATATATATATATATATATAATCTTTATATTATTAACCAGGCAAGGGGTTTTGTAAAAATGGTAGCCTAATCTAGATGTCCTAGAAAATAGAGAACAACAGTTTATTGTTTAAAAGAGAGATAACTCATGTAAAGGCCACCAACACCAGGACTTTAATTAATTTAAACAAAAATTAAAAGATAGATGACAAACTCAAAGGCAGACAACTCCTATAAGGGCCACTAACCCCAGCAGAAGGTCCACTCAGAGTTTCATCAGTCAGTTCGTAGTACTGTGTTGTTGTGTCTGCAACTCCATCTTTAAATCTGACTAGAACCACACGGAAGTTGGTACCTCCAAGATCTAGACCCAGGTAGTCTCCCTGCTCTGGGCAATATATTTAAATATTGTGCACGTTTGACACACAATTATAAGCAGGACATTATTTACGTATTGTTCTACTATATTAGGCCATACATACCATAATTCTGAATGAAATATAACTAACCCAAATATTCAACAATGTATAGTAAAGAAAAAAGTATTTTTAAAAAATTCTCTTTCAGGCCTGATGGTTAATATGGTAGGTGAAGTAGAGTTCACCTGCTTCTGTACCCTCTGGATTTTAGGGGATAGTTTTGTCAGTTCTATGCTTACCCTCATGTGTTGGTTGACTTGTCTTTTCGTGAAAGCAAGTAACTTTTTAATCTCACTCTGCCGCTCCAAGCTTAGGTAAAAAAATGTGAATTAAATATATAATATACAAACACATGTTGATGGGTCATCCATAAATGTCAAATAAACAGTACTATTTCTTAGTTATTCTTTATACAGGCCTATCTCTGTTAAACAGAGATCAATTAATATTGTACAGAAGATTTACAGTGTTATCTGGTCATCATTTTAGGGGCATTATGATATTTTGTGACGTCTTCAGCTGAACTTCATTTGTGGAAAACCTTTCATATCTTATGTGATTTGATATATATCTTTTATTTTTTAGAGGCATAAATAAATGAAACAAACTACCTGTCCCATCAAGTAAAATTCTGATAAATGTGTTCATCATTAAAAGATCAGATTTTTTTCTAATGTTTTCATCTGGGCTGTTGGCTAGATGCATTTGTTCTTTGAATTCATTCATAAGTTTTTCTAGAATCTCATCAGTTAGGCTGAGTGGCTTCAGTACTTGTTCCAGCTAATTAGAACATTTAATTAAAGCTAATTAGAACATTTAATTACAGCTAATTAGAACATTTAATTACAGCTTATTAAAAGATTTAATTACAGCTTATTAAAAGATTTAATTACAGCTTATTAAAAGATTTGAAATTTCATTGTTCCAGCTAATTAAAACAATTATGACAGCTTATTAAAACACTTAATTACAGCTAATTAAAACATTTAATTACAGCTAATTAAAACATTTAATTACAGCTAAGTAAAACATTTAATTACAGCTAATTAAAACATTTAATTACAGCTAATTAAAACATTTAATTATAGCTAATTAAAACATTTAATTACAGCTTATCAAATGATTTGACATTGTGTTTTTGAAGCTATGTAAAGCATTTTAAATATAATTTTAATTCCAGCAGCCTGTGAAAATTATTGTATACCTCTTTTCGACTGCCATTTTTTATGTAAGCCAATATTTATAGAGGTAAACTTTAACTTGCATTCTGATATAATGAATTAAAGAAAATGAGCTGACTAGTGATTAATTTAAGAAATCTAGTTTTGTTAGCTTTTTTTTCTCACAGAATTTTGCATTGCGATTGAGCAACCTTTACATAATCCTTTGTATTTTCATGCATTGTTATATTCTACCTTTTAAAATGGTATAACAAAATATAACCTTGCTCCATTTCTCCTGACTAAGCAGTTTTTGTGTTTTGAGTTTAGAATTTCTACCTTCAAAACTCATTTTTCATGTATCGTCTGAAAATAATAGAATGGGGGGGGGGGGGGGGGGTTAAGAACTAAAGTATAAATTGAGGCCTAAGCCTAATAAATAAATAATGATTAACCCTGAACTTTGAACCATTCTTTTTCTTTTTTTTTCTTTACGCGAAATAATAATAATGCCCATAAACCTGCAACAAATCTATATTTTAAATATAAAGTTCTCCATAGGCTTTTATGTCGCAAATGTAAACGCAACTTTAGAACTCTACTGAATGATAGTCATAATGAGTCAAAGATAGCTTTGTCTGTTTTTTAATTCTTTTTATACACTACCCCAAAAATCTGGCATAAACTTTACATAAAGGTCATAAAGCCACCACCCAATCCCTAATCTAGACCTTGTATGATTTTTATGCATAATTCCGACCCTAACACTTACAGTGTAACAGCGATGTCGACAGACAAAAAATTAACCTTCTAATCACTGCTGTTGTAGAAGTAAAGCCTTGCCTTCGTTTTATCAGAAACAATTGTATTGTAACTAGTAGATCTAGGCCTACATTGCATTTACATAGCAGCATACCTAGCTCTATAATTATACTATTATTATAGTCTATAATTAGCTTACGGGCTGATACAACTGATAAATTATACAAATCTAATTAGTAATATCTAACTAATTATAAAATCTGAAGGAGTAAACACAAACAATCGTACTTAACTGTAAGCCTTCAGACGTGTAACCCAGTATAGTAGACCTATTTTTAAGTACAGAATCAAAAGTAAAAATAAAAAGCCTAAAGAACTCGATGTGGATATCTTAAAGAAATTAGGTTAAATACACGAGGCTCAATGATGCAGATTACAAATTATTTATTACAACAGCTAATGCTATAGGCCTGCAAGATTGTAACGACACGTATAGGTGCCCTGTTCGAACTGACGTAGTTTCCCATTATTAATCAAAAAACTTTTCCCATATTTTATAACTTAACTCTTTTTGGAATAAAGTATGGATCACAATTTTGGTTAGGGGGTCGTCCATAAATGACGTCACACTAGTAGGGGGAGGGTGATGGTGTGACGGCACAATTTTGCATTATAAAAAATAATGTTATAAAACGAATTATAGCCGTTATTTCGAGGTTTAGAAAACTGTTTTAGTAAATTGTAATAGAAATTTATTATAATACTCTATGTTGACAGAGTTCAGGCAAGATTTTGTAAAAAATATTTTTATGTTTTAAAAAAATTCAACAGCAATTGTGAGGGGGTGGGGGGGGGAGGGGGCTTGTAGGCTGGGGTGTGACGTTTTTGTGACGATGTATGACGGAGGGGTGAGGTAACAATCGTCAAAAAAGCGTGACGCTATCTATGGATGATTCCTTATAGGAAGAATGCTAGAACGTTATGTTTCGAGTTCAGATCACGGTTTGGACTTATGACTGTAGAACGTCCTTGAGTCTACTCAGCCTGATGGGTTGGCCTACCTGATTTACGTAGGGGAAAGTAAAGGCGGCTTGGCTGACCACACTGTCCCTTCATATCCCGAGGTCAAGAAAGATATGAACTCTGCTTTATCCCCATATTCAATGGCTAGGTCGAAAGAGAAACTTGACTTTCTAAATATATATTTTTTTGGTATGCTCTGCTTATTTTTTTTCTTCGCATGGAATCCACAGGGCAGGAGAAGCAGACCAAGAAAGACTTGGAGACGTGACCTGGAAGATGACACCAAGAAGATCAGATACACCTGGGGACAGTAGGAGAGACTAGCCAAGGACAGCTGCTAGGAAAGCTCTTATCAGCGGCCTATGTCCCAGGAGGGGCGACAGGCAAACCTAACCTAACCTCTGCTTCTTTTGGGCCGGAATAGTAGTATCCCAGGTCTTCAGTACGCTTATGTGATTTCCATATTTTATAATCCTTTTTATTTCGAAGGCGGACCTTATACTGTCGATGTAAGAGGAGCTTGTCTATAGCAATCGGTAAACGTTGATTACATTTTGTTACATGCATTATAGCTATGAGTGACTTCACAAACATAGTGGCTAATAGATGTGGATCTGCCAAAAAAGTTAACCTACCACTTTGGTCTAACCCTAACCCTCAAGGTTGCGTCCGTGCATGAAATTGGAACTGTGGCGGGGCTTAACGTTTAGCACTAGTGGCCTGGCTTATCTGGTCTACTCATACATTTCCTGACCAAATCTAGTATCCTGTCACGGATAATGTAGTGAAACAAATATCTACTAGCTTAGTCATGCAATTTTCTTGTCCTAGTGTGACCTTTGACCCCCGTGTCCATATTTTGATTTACGGCTTAGTGTTCTGCCAACATGAAAAAAAAAAGGAATTTTAACAACTATTTTAGACACTCATATACCAGGCGTTAAGAAATTATCCACTAGCATTCAGAATTGTATATTGGGTTTTAATACAGACTCTAAAACCATTAGTTCATTTTAAACAACTACTAGACTTCTAATTGTCTAGAGCAGATGTTTATTTTTCTTAGTTTGAGATTTTTAAAAAAAAACCAATCTGGCAAAGCAGTAATGCATATAGACCAGGGAAAAGAAAAATTCCAAAGCTTCTATCCTAGATGCAGGTACAAGTTTATTATATTTTAAAGCAATAGAAGACATAGGCCTAATTAATAAAAATTCAGTTTATTAATTATATCCTTATTCTTACATAACATTGACTTTAAAACAATATATATGTATAGATATATAAAAATGTCATAAAATCTTAATTTTTTTTTCATACATAAAATAAATGCACATATCTGACAAAAACTGGATTAAATTCTTTTTTAAATCAACATTAAAAAAAAAATAATTTAAGTGATTAAAAAGAAATTATGATATTCTATATGGTCCACTATTAATAGATTACCATTAATTGATTACTAGACATTGACAAAATAAATACTGTTATAGTACAGTAAAAGACAATGGTCAGTTAGTGGGGGGTGGGGTGCTGTTCCACTTTGATCTTTGTAGTCTTATTTTACTCTTCCACTCTTAAGGGGGTAGGCTCCAGAAAAACAACAACTTCTAAACTAATAAGCTTTACTTATTCATTTGTGTATATCTAAGTTAGGGTACTTAAAGAAAATATTTACATTCATTAAGGACTCTTCTGAAAGTATGCTTGCCATTAATGCTAAATTGAAAGGTATTTCTCCATACACACTTCTGAAAATTCAAATAATAGCCAGCTGACTCTAGCAGAGTTGTTAAAAGAAGGATCAATGATTATATGATCAATATATATGTTAGTTTTTTTCAAGATGGCTGGAGGTTCCACGGCGACTGTATGTTAAAAAGAGTCCCTGATGCATGCAAATATTTTCCCATTAGTACCATAACCTAGATAGACACACATAAAAAAACAAAGGCTTATTACTTAAAAAGTTTTTTTTCCTTAACGTCTGAACTGTCATAAGTTCTAAGGCCAGTTTTGGTTTGTGCTGAAAAATAAACTTCTAATAAAAACATTCTTCCCATTCACCATGGTATCCACAGCCAGATTGATAACAACATTAAAAGTCTAAGTTAAGAGCAGCGAATGCCCTTTGCCGTCTGTCGTAGTGCTGATACAGCAGCAAATGCTGCACCTTGGCCACTTCCATCCTTGGCCAAAATCATTTTTACCTGAAATAAATTTTTTTGGTTTTATTGAATAATTTACATAAGAATAAAGTTAAAAATAAAAAAATAGTTTGAAATCATCACATGTATTTCATATCTTATATGGTTTTTGCTTACAATAGTGTTGTAATTAATGAGATATATAAAATTAAAGATACCTTTGTCTGTGGACTAAACTTATCAAACACCTCCATCATGCTGTTGTGGAACTTTGGGTGTTTTTCATAAAGGGAGCCATCAATTCCTATAGTTACTTCAGGTAGTCTTACATAGTTGATGAGGACAGACATGGCTGAAGAAATACAAACAAATACATGTATAACTATTTTATAATAAGTCAATTTTAGAGGATAAAAAATATAATATATTATAATTTAAAGGATAAAAATATTTACTTATACGATGAAAAAAAATTTTTTTGGTCAAAATATGCCAGATGGAATTTTAATACATATGTCATATCTAGGATGTAATATTGAGCTCAGTCGAAGTTTAAGCTGAGATTTGTGAAAAAGGTACCACATTGATGGAACTGAGCTTGGAGGAGTTAATATTGCAACAGCTGAGCCCCAGGACTTATATATCACAGACAGAAAAAAAGCTCATAGATATTCTTTAAAACTGCACATCCAGAAATATGTGCATCGGAAAAAGGCACAATGGAAAAAAGCGCACAAAATTATACACAACAGAAAAAGCGCAAACCGAAAAAAAACCGCAAACAGAAATTTGCGCTCATAGAAATTTTTTTCTAAATGTGCATTTTGCTCTTTGCATATTTTTCTGTTTGTGCATTTTCTGTGTGCACTTTTTTATGCTGCACATTTTTCCCGCTTTTTTCCCCCTTTGCGCTTTTTCCCGTGCATCTTTCTGGTCACCCAATTCTACATCTGACCATTAGCAAAGACAGTGCTGTACTAGAAACATGAGAAGATTTGTAATTAGATGGAGGCAGAGTATTGAATAATTCCAACTTAGTGGAGTAAACAACACAACACAAGGGTCATAAGAGAGGCTGGTAAGTTGGTATACATCAAATGTACTGTAAATTTAAGTTGGGTCTAAGTTTTTCAGTATATTTGGTTTAATCAAATAGTGGGCTCACAGAGGATCAAGATAAAAAGATATGTGTTAAGAAATAACAAAATGGGTTGGATTTCTTGCATTTTCAATTCACAAAGATTACTGGTTATTGTATGGTCTGTGCACAGGGGATTTCACTCACAATACAAATGAGGAGTGGGGAGTTGAAGAAAGTTTGTTTATAAAGACAGCATAATTAGGTACCCAGCATTATTTGGGTGAGCCAGATTACCAGCAGCTATGATGAATGCTAATCTGTAAGAAATAAACTCACAAACATCTCTCACAAGACTCAGTCTAATTAAGTACCCAGCATTAGTTGGGTGAACCAACTTACCAGCAGCTATGATGTAGGCTCCTCTATATGAAATAAACTCACACACTTTTCTCACAAGACTCAGCTTAATTATGTACCCAGCATTAGTTGGGTGAGTGAACTTACCAGCAGCTATGATGTAGGCTCCTATATAAAATACTCACACACTCCTCTCACAAGGCTCAGCCCAATTAAATACCCAGCATTAGTTGGGTGAGTCAACTTACCAGCAGCTATGATGTAGACTCCTCTATATGAAATAAACTCACACACTTCTCTCACAAGACTCAGCCCAATTAAGTACCCAGCACTAGTTGGGTGATTGAACTTACCAGCAGCTATGATGTAGGCTCCTCTATATGAAATAAACTCACACACTTCTCTCACAATGGCAATGTCTTCTTCTGTAGCCACAGAATCTAGGTCAAATTTCTTCAAAACATTTTTTGTGTTGGTTGTGGAATCACCTACATCACTGTAAAAAAAAATTTGTAAAATTATATTTTGAAAGTAATAAAAAAGTATACATGATATAGTAATTAAAACAGAATAATATTTCTGTATACAGAAGTTTGAAAGACCACTGACATAAACAAAACTAACTTAGCTGTTAATTTAAAGCTCGATTTTGAAAAATTTATTTTTATAGTGTTGATGATTTCACAATTTTAGTCTTAGCATTGGTACCACTAAATTTAAAATGTTTTAATTACAATTTTTATTTAATTTTCAAATTAAGCATTTAAATAATTTGAACATAGTTTGTTTATTTGAAAATAGTTTATTTTAAAAAACACACATTCAGTAAGTCAATAGTGTTGCAGTATTTGTCAAATATCATAAAAATAAATTAAGTCAAATAAATTAAGTCCCATAATTCCCATAGACCCAGCAGGGGTTACCTCTCCACAGATGTAACATGGGAGGTTGTAAACTCCCATCTCCCATCCACCAACTTCCCTCCCTGGCCATTGAAAAGTGTCCCATCTTTGATTAGCCTGACCAAAACCAGACGCACAAACTCACCCAGGTACATTCCAGAGAAAGATTTCTCAAACCTGAAAATATATTAACAAATAATCTGATTACAATGTGTAGACAAAAAAGTTAATAAAAAGTCTAGTGACAATTTAAGCACAATTTCCTTATGTTATCCATAACAATTTTTAATTTTTTGTGACCGAACGAAAGGATATTTTTTTGGGCTAAAACCTACACGATGCTCAGTTTAAATTAAAAATATCATCCTAGGCCTACACGATGCTCAGTTTAAAAATTCTTAATTAATTTTTTGTGACCAAACGAAAGGATATTTTTGAAAACTTTCTTCGGCAATATTGTTCTAAATTATGGCAGGAATCGATTGGTAAATGTTTCAAGTCACTAAGTGGTCTGGTTGCCGAGATATGGGCCAAAAACTGCATTTTTTCGAGGTTTTTTGGCTTTTCCGGGAAATCCAGGAAGGAATTCCGGGAATTTTTTTGGCCCACAATCATCCTCGGAACTTGCTTAACATATTTGCTTTTGGAACTAGTCCTCGATATTGCTTCGTTGAGGAGGAGATATGACTTAAAGCTGCGGACACACATCCATCCATCCATTTATTCATTCATCCATCCAGAAATGACGAGTTAATAATCGCAATTGTCCGTATGGAAATTGCGCTTAAAAGTGTACTCTAACCAAATGATGCATAGAAATATTTTATTATTGTTATCTCTGCTTTGAAATTACTGTGTAATCAACACTATGCCCAGCGCAATATGCCCAGCATTATATACCTTGCCACTTTTAATTTTCCCAACTTTAGGCATCTACTCATTACAACTGGCTGGAATCAGAGACATTCTCTAGACTAAGTCCAGGATCCAATTAAAATTTTTTAGCGCATGAGTTTAAAATAATTGAAAACTTAACAATTCTGTGTATTCCTGTACCAAACAGACTGGACCCCAGGGAATGAAACTCAAAACTTTTAGGATTGCAATCTCACTTTACACTATTTAACACCTCATTCCAAAATTTAAGATTTCAATTTGAGATAATAAAACTCATAAAATGTGAAGATGATGAACAGGATTTAATTTTTAGTAACCTTAAATATCATACCATGTCCTGTAACATGCTATTGGAATATAAATTTACTTTGGTAAGACAACCCTAACAATTTTCCTAACAGTTATTCTGATTCTGTTTAAATAACGTCACTAAGACTTGCATTTAAAATTGTATATTTCCTACTGACGTAAAAGATCCTGGATGATTTGAGAATTTGTCAATTTCTTTCTCGTATTCACTCCTGTGGAAATCCATACATCCACTGTCTCCTGTTGACCCCAGTTCAACATTCACAATTACCTGGATTAGGATTAGTGTTAGGTAGGATGTTAAAATTAATAAATATTTATTTGAATTTAAATTAAAAAGGAATATTCATTCTGGGGTTAGGAGGCGGGGAAGTGGAAGATAATGATTTAGATAATGCAATGTTACTGCTCTGTGTTTATTACTCTATTGCTTTTTATTACCATGCTTTTATGTGAAAAAAGGCCCCCTTGCCTACTGTTGTTACTGTTATTGAATAAATTTGAGTAAAAGACTAAGTCATGTATGCCAAATCTGGTTAGGAAACTGGCCAGGATTTTATATCAGTATGAACAAGGTACTATAGCCATATCCAGATTTTATTTGGTTTTGACAAGCTGCTTTAAAAATGTTAAACATTGATGGAACAAAAGAAATAACTATATTCTAAGACAAAAGAGAATAAATCTTTAAAATTAAACATAAAATTTTTAAATTCTAAAATATTCTTACATGTTTAGGGTCCTCATAGTCTCCTGTCCATTTTTCAATATCTGTAATGTTTTCTACAAAAGCTGCATTACACCCAGTGCCTAAGGATATAGTAGTAAAGAACTTCAGTAAAAATAATGCTCTATTTTCATATAATTTATAATTGATTTATTGAATACTAGCAATACTCAACAGCTATAAAAGCTTACAACAACTAGGAATCCCAACATAATATAGCAATACTAAGGCATAATATATTATTATTATTATGACTACTCTAATGAAACTTGCCTTTCTTCATCATAAAAATAAAATACATTTCTAAAAAATATCTGCAAGAGAGGAAATTCTTACCTAGAATGAGCCCAACTCTGCATTTTTTATCCAGGTAGTTTCCAGCCATCAGAGTGCTTACTGTATCACTCATGACAACCACTATGTCCACAGGGAGGTCCTGTTAAAAATAAACACAGGAAATCTTTTATAAACAGAGATGAGAAAATGTAAAGTACAGCAATCACAAACAATATAGACACATGAGTAAGCAAATAATATTTTTTTAAATTTATAATGTTTGACGTTTAAAATTATTTAATATATACTTGGCAGTAGAGTTAAAGTAAGATCCCTCTTGAGACGTAGCAATCCATTTGGCAAATGAAGTAGAGTTCATGTTTCTTGACCTCGACACATGGAGGGATGTGGTAAGCAGTATGCCTTTACTTTCCCTAACATGAGTTAGGTACTCATCAGAGCTGGGTGGATTCAGAGACATTCCGCTGATGAAACCAGATTCGAACTCGAGACTTTTGGGTTAGCAGTCTAGTGCTCTACCACCAGACCATGCCTTCCCTTGGTAATAGAGTAGTACATAAAAATAAGTGTGACCTTGGCTTTCCTCTGGATGGCAGCCTCCAGCATGGCAACTGGATCTTCCCCAACACCATCTGGACATTTGAATGTTTTAGTCCAGGTCAAGAGGATGCTTTTGTTCAATTCAAGTTGTGTGGATGGGAATGAAAAAGTGAAACCTGGAATACAAGGGACAAAAAGATTTTAAAATTCTAAAAATCAAGCAAAAAATTATTTATTGCCTGTAATTAACGTAACAGAAATAAAATCAAAGAATTAAACTGGTTTTTTTATAACTATTTCCAACAAATAGTTAACCCATCTTGTCATATAATGGATAGATAATTGTATTTTAAATCCTTGAAATGTCTAAATAATTTTTTTTTTATATATAGAGGAAAAGAACGAACTATTACCAAAATAAATTTAATCTCATAATAAAGGTTCTCAAAAACTATTGAATATTCAACAAAACACAACATATAAGGTGTGATATGAAAACAAATTTAAGCATATAATCCTAACTCTAAATAATTTTGTTTAATAAAAAATAATGTTAAAAAATGTTTGAGATAATAAATCTAAACAATTTTAGTTTTTGATCACCTGATCCTCCAAAATTAGGAATAGTTAACCCTCCAAAATATTTGGTATTAGATAATCTTATTAAAAAAAATGACAAATAAATATAAAAAACAGAAGAAAAATAGTCTACTATCACACCAGTCGAACTCTAGATAATTTTATATCATGACAAACTAATTTTCTTACCCAATGGAATCTTTTTCTCTGAATTTGCCAGCCCTTGTTTGATAAGAAAATCTTGAATACTTTCAGCAATAAAATCAAAAACCTGCAGAAAAAAATTATTTTGTTAGACACTTTACTGTCCTTTATTTTAATGTATTATGACTTGCCAGATATGAATGCACCCAATTGGATGTGCTTGTGAGAGTACAGCACAGAAATGTCATTATTTCTGAGGGTCATATCAATTTACTCATCTAATTTTTAAAATTTAAACATAGAAAGACTTGGAAGGCTTTACCTCCAGACTAAGAGTCTTGATATAATATATTTTCAAATAGTTTTTAAATTATAGAGACAGATTTTTAAATAATGCCCAGACCAAGTATTTGCTATCTATCAGAGTTTCTTCCAGGCATCTCACCCCCTCCCCCCCCCCCCCCCCACGAGAGAAAAAAGTCTGGAAGAAACAATGCTATCTACTCTCTTATTATCAAGTGTTATTTTACTATCCGTTTCTTAGGCCCAAGATATTATTATGATATGTTCCTAAACTTTATATTTCCAAAATAAATAAACGAACAATGTTTTTTTGGAACATAATAATGACATGAAGATAATTATCTATTCAGAATGTTGTTTTTTTAAAATGTAGAAATGCATAGGAATGATTGTTAATTAATTGATTAATTGAATAAGGTCAGTATTTAAATTCATTGACAATCAGTAAAACTGGGTATTAACTTAGTGGTCCAAAAAGTTCACATAGTAAATATAATATCTACACTTTTGGTAAAATAAGCCTATTCTCCATGACAGAATTTTTTATCAGAAGATTCCATATAAACTTTAAAACAGAACATGAAGATTGAATTGGAAAATGAACACATACACAATTAGGGTTGTAAAGGTTTAAATTTTTTCAGGTATTAGCTTTTATAAGTACATTCAGGACTTTTTGTTTTAAAAAGTGATGGGATATGTGACAAGCTCAAAGAGAGACAACTCCATTAAAGGCCACTAACCCCAGCAGAAGGTCCACTCAGAGTTTCGTCAGTCAGTTCGTAGTACTGTGTTGTTGTGTCTGCAACTCCATCTTTAAATCTGACTAGAACCACACGGAAGTTGGTACCTCCAAGATCTAGACCCAGGTAGTCTCCCTGCTCTGATGGAAAAAATTAGACAATTTTAACTTTCATTTAAAAATTCAAACTATTGTTACGAAGTTTGTCAAGGGACCCTAAATTGCACCTAGAAAGTCAAACTTTTATGACAGACATATAAAATTTGTATTGGTTACTTATACAACAATGAATCATTTAAATATATTACTGGAAATAAACAATGAAACAAACTACCTGTCCCATCAAGTAAAATTCTGATAAATGTGTTCATCATTAAAAGATCAGACTTTTTTCTGATGTTTTCATCTGGGCTGTTAGCTAGATGCATTTGTTCTTTGAATTCATTCATAAGTTTTTCTAGAATCTCATCAGTCAGGCTGAGTGGCTTCAGTACTTGTTCCAGCTAATTAAAACATTTAATTAAAGCTTATTAAAACATTTAATTACAGCTAATTAAAACATTTAATTAAAGCTTATTAATGGATTTAAAATTCCAGCTAATTTAAACATTCAAAAATTTAAGTCCAATTAATATTTAAAAGTTACTAAAACAAATCTTTAAATTATCTTTTAACTAGAAATTTAATAAAATTGTTGATTTGCTCATTAAGGTTAAGTGTGTTAAGAAAGGCAGGAGTTTTAGAGTGTAGTAAGATAGTCCCTGTTAAATTTTTCATGTAATAAAGGTGTGTACAGAATAGCACCCTATCACACCACAGGACTGGCAAATTGAACCTGGGCTAAGTAAAGTAAAAAAGGTAAAAAAAAAAGTAAAGTTCCCCTTACATATTTGACAACAAGAAGTAAAGTTCATCTGTTCCTTGACCACAGCATATGAAGAGATGGAGTCGTCAGAACTATACACAGCTGCCTTTACTTTCCCTAATGTGCATCAGGTACCCAACAGAGCTGGGTGAACTCAGATTATCCTACATACTTGACCCCAAGATCTGAACTCAAAACATTTGGGTTAGCAGTCGAGATCTCTACCACTCGACCACGCTGTCCCTTCAATGACATAGTGACTTAAGTTAAAGATTTGCAATCTGTGAATAATTTGGTAATTTTATCATCACTACATCTGCTTGTGTAGACAAAAACACCCATTCTGGTAATAATGTTTGTAGCATCTATTGTGGATATATAATTTATTCATACAGTGGAAATAAATTCGCTGAGTGCTCTAAAATTTCTTCACAAATATTCAAAACTACATTACAATGGAGCTCCGCCTAATATATCAACACTTTTCCTGGGTGTTATCTATTTATCTTAGCCAAGCACATATTTGTCAAGTTTCTTCTTGTGGTCTTATCATTACAGTTAGCCAACTCCAGCAGTGTATGTGCCAAAGATAACTATATGGCTCTCTATGATAAAAAACAAAAAATTAGTCCTTTCAAAAAGGAAAAAAATTACCTGGTTCCATTTTTCCTGACTTAGGAGTTTAGCGGTATTGAGCTTGGAATTTCTACCCTCAAAACTCATTTTAAATGGTTACGTCTGAAAAAACAACAAAATTAAAATTTCATTGAAAAAGGCAGCAAATATTGTTATATATAAACAAATAAACTATAAGTGGTGGTTGTAAGAACACCAGTAAGATGTATCCAAGTTATTTTTTGTGTGCATTAGTTAAAGATTCTGCTGTTTCTATGGTAGTATCACTAAAGAAACACTTTCCCTTATCCTAATCACTGTATCTAGGCTAAAAAATTCACAAAGAACTTTCAAAATGTGTATTGTCAAAATAGCTATTACAGGGAGCATCAAACGTTATACCTCCCCTAAAATGGCATCACACATCAACTTATTTACACCTACATCCCAAATACAATATACATATTAACAATGATTTCTTTCAAAAATATTAATTGGATTCGGTCATGATCAAGTATATTGATCAATTTTAGTTACAATTTCTCAAGCCTTTAAAAATGCAAAGTAACTTATAAAATTCAGTGACAGACAGCCAATTTAAAAAAAAAAAGCTTATGCCAAACTCCGAGGGAGGAGGGGGCTTGGACTTTAAAGATGATAATCTGAAAAAAAGGAGCAGGAAGTTGAAACTTTAAGAAGGGTATTTTCTATATAAATTTTGTTTTTAGTCCAGGAGGGGGGGATAAGTGGAGCAGTGCCCCCCCCCCCCCCTCTCCTCCTCCCTGCCTTAAAGAACCACTGGATGGTTATAAAAGTGACCACACCATTTCATATCTTATAAAATCATGTTTGAAAGTGAATGTTGATAGAGCTCCATAAATATGACAAAATGAAATCGCTTTGAAAAAAAATGACAATTTGTTGTGTTATTTTATTAGGGGAGGGGGGTCTGTTTTTTTGTGTTAATCACCACAAATAGTGACAATGGGAGGTAAAAAAAACCAATGTAATATTGTTTATGGATGCCCAAAGCCCTAATGCAAGCAAGACAAGCTTTTGAGAATTTTATTATGCCTAGCAAATAACTATGGGCAGTCACAACTCAGAAAAGAGGGGGGGGGGGGGGGGGGTGGGCAGTCCATACCAGAAAGTTTAACTGTTGTAGGAGGGGGTGGGGGTGACACCTTCACATTTAGGCTAACTTGCTATTTCTTACATTTGAAAGCAAACACAAAATAACTGTATGTCTTACTTAATATTATTAATAATAATACTAGACTCTAGATCTAGATTCTAGATCTGGCAATATTAATATAATAATAAGCCAGAAAAAAAAATTATTAAGACATAGTTCTGACATAGAGATCTAGATTCTCTAGATCTAATTAAATTTTAAAAATTAAGAATCTAGATAGTCTAGGTAAAAAAGAGAGTAGATCTAGAAATAAAGTTTTGGCTACACTACACTATATACTATATACACTATAAAAGTGAAGATCTACTATACTAGACTTAAGATCTAGATCTATATAGTATATATAGATAGTACTATATAGATAGTACTATCATAGTAGGCCTATGGCTATAATATAGATTTAAATAAATCAATAAGGGACTTAACTCTTAACTAACTGGACTAATATAATTAGCCTATATTTTTTATTTATTAAGAACGACTATCTTACTATGATATTACTATCTATCTCTACATTATCTAAAATCATTAAAATTAGTAACCTTTCCTGGAATCGAAAAACACGGGTGATTGTTTTTAAGCGTCTACGTGTAGACTACCGTGTCTGAACTATTTTTGTGTGTGTTGTTAGCTACCCTTTCCTACAGCCTTATGCTTTAGCCTGAATCTAGATTAATAGCGTATAGATTAAAATTTATTTAGACGTAGATCTACATCTAGACATTTAAAACTCAACCGAGATTGCACATTACTGCAACAAAACAGTAATTCCAGATCTAGTACACACACACATCACAGAAACAAAGTTATCTAGACTACTAGATTCTACGTGGCATAATTAAATTAGATTACGATATTTTAATTAGGCCAAGGGTGGCGAGGCTATTTATTATTATTAAAAAATTAAAAAAATATTGCCGATAGTTTGGTTTAATACACTAAACACTTCAGCAATTATTAAATAGATATTTAAACTAAAAGAACTTGAGATAATTTACATACAACACAAAAACAGTGTACCGTTTTGCTAAGCCAAAAGTAGAATTCTAGATCTAGACCATGGACCGACCCGGTGTAGACAGACAAAACATGGGAAAAAAAATAACTCTAATGAACTCGCCTTGATGTCAAGGTCGTGTTTTAGATAATAGGTCACGTGCATGGGGTCGAATGATAATGAAACGAATTGCATGTAGGCTTTCGCAGTGGCGGAAACATTTAAAATGCAGTCCCTCTCCCTCTCTGCAAATTCTTCAGGTTTCCTCTAGGTTGAGGGTAAAAACTCAATTTACAGGGTATTATTGACAGATAAATTAATTATAGATTGCTAAGATTAAGATGTTACATGAAGTTGAATGTATAGGCTACTTATAATGTTAAATGTTGCAACTCAAACATTGTGCACATCAACCACTTTTTAAAAAAAATCAAATTAGAATTTAATGATGTGATTGAACTGTGGCAACTTTGTAAGTTTTTAGCGCAATTTCCATACTGGACAATTACGAATATTAACTCGTCATTTCTGGATGAATGTGTGTCCGCAATGGATGTGTGTCCGCAGCTTTAAGTCGTATGACGTATATCCTCCTCAACGAAGCAATATCGAGGACTAGTTCCGAAAGCAAATATGTTAAGCAAGTTCCGAGGATGATTGTGGGCCAAAAAAAATTCCCGGAATTCCTTCCTGGATTTCCCAGAAAAGCCAAAAAACCTCGAAAAAATGCAGTTTTTTGATGGATGTGTCCGCAGCTTTAAGTCGTATCTCCTCCTCAACGAAGCAATATGGAGGACTAGTTCCGAAAGCAAATATGTTAAGCAAGTTCCGAGGATGATTGTGGGCCAAAAAAAATTCCCGGAATTCCTTCCTGGATTTCCCAGAAAAGCCAAAAAACCTCGAAAAAATGCAGTTTTTTGATGGATGTGTCCGCAGCTTTAAGTCGTATCTCCTCCTCAACGAAGCAATATGGAGGACTAGTTCCGAAAGCAAATATGTTAAGCAAGTTCCGAGGATGATTGTGGGCCAAAAAAAATTCCCGGAATTCCTTCCTGGATTTCCCAGAAAAGCCAAAAAACCTCGAAAAAATGCAGTTTTGGATGGATGTGTGTCCGCAGCTTTAAGTCGTATCTCCTCCTCAACGAAGCAATATCGAGGACTAGTTCCAAAAGCAAATATGTTAAGCAATTTTCGAGGATGATTGTGGGCCAAAAAAATTCCCGGAATTCCTTCCTGGATTTCCCAGAAAAGCCAAAAAAAAAAACCTCGAAAAAAATGCAGTTTTTGGCCCATATCTCGGCAACCAGACCACTTAGCGACTTGAAACATTTACCAATCGATTCCTGCCATAATTTAGAACAATATTGCCGAAGAAAGTTTTCAAAAATATCCTTTCGTTCGGTCACAAAAAATTAATTAAGAACAAATAAGTTTATATTTATAGGATGATATTTACTACTTTACTTTTTTAAACTGAGCATCGTGTAGGCCTACTCGTTAAAATAAAACTATTTCCGTTGATATAGGTTAATATAGTTGTCTTTATTTTTTACTTATTAATTCATACGTTATTTTTGTACCCTATTAAATAATAAATATTTTTTCTATTTTGTTTTGAATTATTAAAACCGCTTGTGTTGCATTATTTATTTGCTGAATATATGATTTATCTCGATTTAAAATTGTTATGGATAACATAAGGAAATTGCGCTTAAATTGTCACTAGACTTTTTATTAACTTGTTTTATGTACATTCACTGAAAAGGCAAAGGATTCCCAAGTTAACAGCTGTCTCACCCTAAGTTAACAGCTGTTTTCTCACATCACTTTCAAAGCTTATAGTTTGAAAACGTCCGAATACAATAAAATAAGAATTTTACATTCTTGTAATAGCTATGACACACATAGACCATCTCTAACACACACAGACAGACAGACACACACACGCACGCGCACACACGCCTAGATGAAGAATACAACATTTGAACCCCTCTCACCACAGTCAAATCTTGCCTATGTCACTGTGTCACTTAACACCTGTATGCATATAATAAAAGATGTCTGTAGTTATTGGCAGTATTGATATTGTTTTATACAACATCCCTATTACATATTTCTGCTAAACACTATACGACAATCCTAATAATAACTGAAATTTCATCTTTTTTTCACCAGTTATTTACAATTGTGGTTCTATTGCTGGCAGATTTTGAAAAAAACTTTTTTCCTGGCCATTGTTGAGCCAGATCATCTAGAGATTCCCATCGCTACACATGGTGTAGGGGCGAGAACAGGGTCCCAGAAATGTACACACCACCAGTGGGGTCACAAGAGTTTGAAAGGGGTGTGGGCCAGGGTTTTTTTTTATTAAATTTTTTTTTTCTATGGGAAGGGGTGTATATTTTCTATATCAATTTTATATTCTGGTTGTGGGTGGGAGGAGATGAAGGTACATGAAAGAAACACTGCGGGTGAAAAAAAAATTAAAGCTAATTACTAATTACAGACACTTTTAAGAAAAAAACTATACGGTAAGAAATTTAGCAGTTTTATTTTCTCAATGCTTTTGGGATATGATATAGATCTGAAAGTGTAGGATAAAAATATTACAGAGAAATAATCCAACCTTTACTTTAAAATCTCTGATGGCTATCCCTCTTATTTTAACCTTAATAAAAAAAAATTATGGTCGAAGGGAAACAAACATGAAATTTATTGACTGCATAGTTTAGCAGAGGTTATCTCGCTTAAATATTTAGAGTCAAATTTTGTTGAAAAAGTCTCATTTAAGAACATAGACACGTTTAATATTAACTGAATAGACTAGTAATTCATAATTTGTGATATCGACAGTACCAACGCTGCCACTGAAAATATTTCTTTAAAACACTATAAGTAGCTCGTTAAGGACGATAACCCCCCTCCCCCTCCGTCCGTTACAGTAAACCCCACTTAGTTACACCCCCCCCCCACAACGTTTAAAATCGTTTCAAACTAAATTATCTGCTATTATCACTATCACTACCACCCCCAACCCACCCCCACATGATCTGGTGAGCTGTGGTTCACTCTAAATGTTTACAAATCGTAGAGCCGGGTTTAGTGACGGCTATTAGGGGCAGAAAATTTAGTTTGAAACGATATTAAACTTACAGGAGGTAACTAAGAGGAGGCTGCTTTCACAAGGGGGGGGGGGTGTAGGGTAGGGGTTGGGGGAAGGGGGGGGGGTAGTGTTTTAAAGCAAATATTTTCAGTGGCAGCATTGGTACTGTCGAATTCACAAATTATGAATTACTGAAAAGTAGAAAATAAAACAACTAAATAGCGGCATATGATACGCCGCGGGTCGGCTCGTATTACTATCTAATATATAAAGCTCAGTTCTGTATGTAATGCATTTGTATGTCGTTGGAATTGTACGAATTTAAGTGTTAGAAAATTAGCGTGCGCATTTGTCTAAATTTATGAGCTAAAAAATTACCATTGAAAGTGTTGGGAAATCATTTTCATTTTTCAAATTACAGTAATAATTGTCGGCATGTTCATTAAACACAAGTTTAAAAAAAATATCATCTTTTACAAAAATTCTAATTATGTCTTTATTTAGTCCTATAGCACTTACTTCCCTTTGATAAATTAGGAAAACAAAATTACTTCCCTTTATAAAACCATTGCATTAGTCGAAAATAATTTACTTTTTAATTACTTTGTTTTGGTGTTGGGAAAAAAAATAATTACATAATTAGCGGGGATTGATCAAGTGCAAATGTTGTAGGTATTTTACGGATAAGCTTGGAGTATTAAAATTGTTCATCAAATTGAAACAGGCGCGTTCGTTTAAGTGAGTGCAAAAGACTATGAATAAGTTGGGGTACTATAGTCGTTCATTAAGCTAAAACAGGTGATTCCGCCCCGGGCGTTTATGTTCGCGTTAGTGTTGTCTTTGTGTTTAGGTGGGTTTGCGTTAGTGGTTGCGTTTTGATTTGGTTCGTTTTTGTTCTTTCTTTTTTCGTTTTTGTTTGTGTTTCTTTGTTTGGGTTTGTATTTGTGTTTTTGGTTGGTTTTGCGTTTGGATTTGGTTTGTTTTCGTTTGCTTTTTCGTTGTTTTTTTTTTGTTGGTATTGGTGTTTGTGGTTGGGTTTGTTGTTAGGTTTTTGTTTTCGTTTGCTTTTTTGTTTGTTTTTTCTTTGTGTTTGTATTGGTGTTTGTGGTTGTGGTTGGGTTTGTTGTTAGGTTTTTGTTTTCGTTTGTATTTGTAATTGTGTTAGCGTTATGTTTGCGTTTTGTTGTTTTGGTTGGTTGTGGTTTGGGTGGGCAATGCCGGGTTTAGGATGATTACTAAACACACAGGTAATGGTCTTTAACAGAAAGGTTTTTCACAGAAGCCAGAGCAGGGCCTGGCCGGGACGGCTAGTATTTATATAAACAGCAGCCATTTGTAAAATAGAGTGGCTTCCCCTGAATCTCGCGCTACAAGTTAAAAACGTAAACAAGATGGCTGCTTTAATAAATGAGCATTGTTGCATCTATTGGAAACATCGCTAGTCTTCATTTAATACGTAAAAGTTTTAATTCAATAGTTAGAACAGGTAGAATCTACAAACTTTTTGTATTTTTAAGGGCAGGTTAAACCCCCAAATTGAAATTTTAAATTTAGTTGTTAGGACTTTTTTGGGTAATCTATCGGTTTAGGTAGATCTAGATCTAGATCTACGTAAAATTAGTAAAATCGCCCGCGGCTATAAATGTACGAAAACGTTACCTCATTGTCAAGGCTTTAATAGAAGTATATATTGGGATATGTTTGTGTCAAATATTATTATATTATATTATAGATAAATGATTAATAAACCTAAATCAATGGCTAAATAATAATATATTTAATATATTTAATTATTTATTACTGAAAAGTTTTAATTCAATTGTTTAAAAACAGGTACATAAATGAAACAAGGAAACATTTTTGAATTTCTTAAAACATAAATCCTCATCAACATGTGAAATAATTATTAAAATTTAAGGAGTCACCTGTTTTTCACATTACAAGTCGCGGGCGATTTTACGTACCCAAACCGATAGATTACCCTTTTTTGAGTGATAAGGAAGTTGTAACTAACATAGATGTCTAGTATTTTAGTAATTAGTATGATAGTATCATAGTAGGCCTATATCTATATATATAATTCTCTTCTGGGAGACGTTAGAAAACAAGCTGCAAGCGCGCCTTGCAGTCCCCTCTCTTCCTCTCTATCACTACCACCCCCACATGGTCTGGTGAGCGGTGGTTCACTCTAAATGTTTACATTAATCATAGAGCCGGGTTTAGTGATGGCTATTATGGGCAGATAATTTAGTTTGAAACGATTTTAAACTTAGAGGAGGTAACTAAGAGGAGGGGGGGGGGGGGTATAGGGTAGGGTTGGGGGGAAAGGGGGGGGTAAAAGGTTTGGGGGAAAGGTAATCTATCGTTTTAGGTGCGTAAAATCCGCCCAGGCTAGTCATGTGAAAAAAGTTGCCTCATTGTTAAGGCTTTAATAGAAGTATATTACGATATATGAGCCGACCCGCTGCGTATCATACGCCGCTATTTAGTTGTTTTATTTTCTACTTTTCAGTAATTCATAATTTGTCAATTCGACAGTACCAACACTGCCACTGAAAATATTTGCTTTAAAACACTATCAGTAGCTCGTTAAGGACCATACCCCCCACCCCCCGTAAAAGTAAATTCCTCTTAGTTACCTCCCCTAAGTTTAAAAAATCATTTAAACTAAATTATCTGCCCGTAATAGGCGTCACTAAACCCGGCTCTACGATTGTATAGATTTAGCGTGAATCACAGCTCACCAGATCATGTAGGGGTGGGGGTGATAGGGAGCGTGCTTGCAGCTTGGTGTTTTCTGTCGTCTCCAAGAAAAAAATTATATATATAGATATTTGTCAAATATTATAGATAATAACTGAATAATAAAACAATGGCTAAATATATCAATATATGCCCGAAATTAACTACAGCAGTGTTTGCGAGCAAGATTTGCTATATAAACAGTGGCCATCTGTAAATTAGAGTGGTTTCCCCTGAATCTCTAACTATAATTAAGCCAAAAAATTTAAACAAGATGGCTGGTAAAATATATTACCTTGGTTACATCGGATGTAAACATTGCTAGATCTAGTCTTTATTTATTACTGAAAAGTTTTAATACATTTATTTAAAAACAGTTACATGAATGAAACTTTGAAACATTTATGTAGCTTTCAAAACATAAATCCTCCTAAAAATGTAAAACAATACATTTAATAAGTCACCCTTTTTTCACATTACTAGTCTCGGCTGATTTTTACGTACCTAAAACGATAGATTACCATTAAATATAGAAATTTTAGAAATTTTACACTTCACAGTAAAAAAAAATTGGTATAGACAATTATAGAGTACTATAGAGATCTAGATCTAGAAAACTAGATCCTAGTCTATATGTCAAGAGTTTTTTTCATGACATTTGGATTTAACTAGACTACCCGTCATCCCTTGGATAACTGGGTTTCGGGGGTCATCCATAAAAAAAACATCACGTCTGTCACTTATCGTCACAAAAAACCAGACCCCACATTCAAAAAGATGTTTTTTTATCTTTTAAAAACACCGATTTCGGACTATCCCTTCATATACTGACGTCACAGGTGAGACCTACTCAACTCTACTTCACCTGCCCAGTGTCCTGCCAAGTCTCAGACAACATGTTTTTATCGTTTAAAAAAAACGATTCCGGCCGAGCATGTATTTGACCACACTATCCCTTCATATGCTTAGGACAAAGAAACAGATGAACTCTACTTCACCTGCACTGTATCCCGCCAAGTTCAGATAGGCAACTTTATCATTCACCTCTAAAAAATAAAAAAAAATTAACATTGACGTGATGTTTCTAGAACCCATGTCACCCGCACGAAAGCCTATTACACTATCAACTTAGCTATTAAGACTCGTGACATCACTGATGTTTTTTTATGGTATACTTTAATACTTGAGTCTCCTTATGCAACTTGATTTACACACATAAATCTACATCTAAGTCTAGTAGTAGTAACCTTCAAATTAAATTTTATCTTAAATTAGCCAATTACATAGCTAAACAAACAAAGATTTATATAAAATAATGAAGGTCTAAATCTAATCTTTGAAATTTAATGTGGTTAAACTACCTATGAATAAATCAATAAATTAATTAACGTCTTTAAATAAATTTGTGATTAACAGTCTGTCTGAAAACAAAAATTGTTCTCTACTTACATACTATTTTACAGCACTCCACATAGCGTAGATCCTCTACAGTAGTCAATCAGACAAACAAAAAAATAAATATTCAAACATGTAAACAAACTTGAGTTTTAGAAGTATATAGATAGGCCTATAGTTAGAAATTCAAATTATGGTCAGGGCGTAGGCGTATGGACTATGGTAGGTACTAGATCTAGGTAGGGCTAGGATTTCTTTCACATTACTAAATGAAAATGATTACTAGATCTAGTACTAGCTGACAGTAGCTGTGGCCTATTTTAAAATAATTATAAGTACCTAAAACTAAAATTGATAGTTATTGTTTTTATTAGAATAGAATCTACCTTTAAATATGTAAATATAGGTTTTTAGGTAGGTAATAGACTTAAAGTTTTACAATATTTTATAACAAAGATCCTAAAATATTCAAAATATACTTATTTATGTTAATATTATTAATTAAAATTAATGCTTCTTTATCAACTCATAGCCCTTCTCGAAAATCTCATCAAGGCTTTTTAAAATTTAAAAACGATAAAATAACCGGACTATTAATAATTAATATAATAATTAAATATTTAATTAGGTAGAGGTATGAAAATTAAATTTTTGAGTATTTTATCTCTAAACCATATGAGTTTGTGGGCATTAAGCTTTCCATTGGTACTAAATTTATGAATCTAGCTTTATTAAGAGAAGAGGAATTTTTTTGTTCTATTTAATAAAGGTTGAACTAAAAGATCTCTTATATCTATATAAAATTCTAAAAAAAAATTAAGCAAGTCTAAAGTTAAGACATATATATTTAAACATTTTTATAAATGCAATCAATATATTTTCAAATAGTATTTTTAAATTGAGTTTTTTAATTAGGATTGTTTTTATTTCAGTTTTTTTCTGCAATAATTCATCAATCTAAAGCTATGGAAAACACAAAGGACACTAATGGTATAGTTTGGGAGAGTTCAATTATGGTTAAACAGGAATTGAGTGACGAAATCATAACATTTATGGACATGAAATCAGATGAAACATCAGCTATTTCAAGTTCAGACGAGTACAAACAAATATATCAACACTCTTTTTCAAATACTGAAGATATAAAGCAGAATGTATCAACACAATTTTCAACTGTTAAAGACAAATACTTGGAGGAAACAATGCCATTTTTAGCTTTAGAAGATACAAATCTTGATAAAACAAAGCCTTTGTTTAATTTAGAAGAGATGAAACAAGATAACCCAACATCATTTTCATCTTCTGAAGACATGAAACCAAATATATCAACAGCATTTTCAATGTTTGAAGATATAAAACCTGAGATATTAACAATTTCATCTTTAGAGAGTGAACAACAAAATGGTTTCAAAGTACAGCAACAACTTTCTTCCCCACCAGATTCAACTGATTTTAAAGAAAATTTAGCAGTTTTAAAATCAGATCTTCATAATGAATTAAAAGAACTCAAGTTATTGCATACAAAATTGATTGATAATCTCCCAACAGAATATCAGATCAATGTTATGATCAGTGAGGGTGAACAGATTAACAAAATAAACCTAGAACAGGTATACAATAAATCTAGTTTGTCTAAAACATCTACTACAAAGTCTAGTTTATCTACACATAAAAATGTTCATTTACCAGAGAGACCATATGAATGTGATGTGTGCCATAAAAAATTTAGGCTTAAACATAATTTATCAGCACATAAAAATGTTCATTTACCAGAGAGACCATATGAATGTGATGTGTGCCATAAAAAATTTAGGCTTAAACATAATTTATCAGCACATAAAAATATTCATTTACCAGAGAGACCATATGAATGTGATGTGTGTCACACAAAATTTAATTCTAAAGGTAATTTATCTTCACATAAAAATGTTCATTTACCAGAGAGACTATATGAATGTGATGTGTGTCATAAAAAATTTAATCATAAAAGTACTTTATCTACACATAAAAATATTCATTTACCACAGAGACCATATGAATGTGATGTGTGCCATAAAAAAATTAATTCTAAAGGTCATTTATCTACACATAAAAATATTCATTTACCAGAGAGACCATATGAATGTGATGTGTGTCACAAAAAATTTAATTCTAAAAGTCATTTATCTACACATAAAAATGTTCATTTACCAGAGAGACCATATGAATGTGATGTGTGTCACAAAAAATTTAATTCTAAAGGTCATTTATCTATACATAAATATATTCACCAGAGACCATATGAATGTGACATTTGTCATAAAAAGTTTGCTCGGAAGTCTAGATTATCTACACACATACACAAAATTTCACTCAGGACTTAAGCCACCTGAATATGTTGTTGGTCATTAAATTCTCTTTCACAAGGATCTTTAATTATCTGTATATAAAATTATTGCTTTTGTACTAATATCACATTGTGTAGGCTGAAAACCCACCATTAATGTTTGTCATACAGGATATAATACTCTTCATTCATAGTATTATTTGTCTTACAAAGTATTACTAATGATTAATATGCTATCTAGACATTTCACACAAAGGAAGAAAAACTACATGGAAAGAATGGATGTCATGAATCTCCATAGCACATTTATTATCTTGTACAAGGTGTTATGGCTAGCTTTGTTCAGGTTTTTATTGAAAAAAATGATGGCTAAATTCTTACCCATACAATAATACTAACCACTAATAAACACCAACATTTTATTATGTACCATTATAATTTGAATCATTGAAGTAATATTTACTCTATATTTTTCTATATTGAATATATTCCATTCTAAATTCTAAATTTTGTATAAATAATTATATAACCCATTAAGTTAATCATAATTATGATAATTGAAGTGAGCAACAAAATGTATTAATTAATGTAGCTGAAAATGATTAAACTTTTTAGACATAAGATACAATTTATTATTATGATCATTATTGATGTTTAAGTTATCATTTTTTTAAAGACAATAAATATTTTCAGCTATTAATTAATCAGAAAGCGTTTATTCCGTTTTATTAGGGTTATTATGATTGGATCGGCTGTTATGATATATAGATCTAGACCAATATATATATATATATATATATATATATATATATATATATATATATATAAATGAATGCATGGGTTTGTTTGTTAATTTGTCCTTATGGCATTACTACACCTTTCACCAATCGCCATCACACTTTGGGGAGTTGCTGAATAGGTTTCTTTCTGTGTTGAAAGAGGTGGGAAGAAGATTCAATTTCACAAGGGCGGCGCACCGGCAAGGTTTGATGCGATTTGTCTCTATAATACGGTATATAAAAAGTCTGATGCGGTTAGACACTGTTCATCCTAGTGCCATAAAACTTTGGGGAGTAAAACTCCAACAGGCGCAGCTCACTAAATTAAATCAGGCGCAAAGGCGCCTACGTTCGTGCGATGTATAAATTGGAGTCTTATAGTATTTTATCGAATGATATTGTTTGCTAAACTTTGCAATGACTGTCTTTCGCGATTAAAAAAAAATATATTTCGGCCAATTCTAATTGAATAAAATGTGAACGATTGTCTGTAGAGCATTGGGGTCGCGAATGGCTTTCTGGGGGGGGGGGGGGGCGCGAACTGGTAGACTAAACCCTAGCAATGAAAAGAAAAACAACAAATATTTAGAAATTAGAAGAAAATCTTAAATTCAGCTTTACTAACATCTCAGGAAATGAAATCAAGAAAAACTGCGTACTGTGCAAAGTTGATCTCAGCCATGGGTCTATGAAACCTTGAAAACTTAAACGTCATTTTGAGACGAGTCATTCGGTACACCAATAAACCGGGAGTGATCTCCCCTAAACTTTCTCGAATATTCTTATATAAAACAACAGGGGATGGGAACTCGGGCTATAGACATGATTTTTAATCCATTTTAAATACTTAAGTTTTAAAAATAGAATAAAATCTCGTAGACAAAAGAATTGCACACCAAGTGAACGCCAAATAAAAAAGTGCATAATAGTGCGCAATATTATTAGTACTTTAAAAATTTACATTAGTTTTTTGAGAAATCGGAAGTAGCGTAAATTACTACTTCCGGTCAACGGAAATTTCTCAAAATTTAACAGAAAGTAGAGAATTAGATCTTTTACTCACATGTGAAATTTCATTTATCTATCTGAAATAGTTCTGAAGTTATAGGCTTTTGAAAAATTCAAAGTAGAAAAAGTACCACTTCCGGTTATCGAAAATCGCGCAAAAGTTAATACGGATCTACGATTTTGATAAAATACTTATATATGAAATTCATCAACCTAGCTGTAACGGTACTCAAGTAATCGTGTTCACACACAGACAGACAGACATACGGACAGAATTGCAAAGCCCAGTTTTTCAGAATGGATTACGCATAAAACCTCTTAATTTTGATAAATCTGGATTGATAATTTTTGCCCGATTAAAATAATTCCTCTATACTTCGGATGTGATGAAGAACTGAGGTGTAATACGGTGAAAATTGTTAAAATTTCAAGACATTTTTTTGCACGATTACAATACTTTCTCTATACTTCGTATATAAGAGAAAGTAAAAAGACATGGAGCTCTTTCGTCGGCATGAAGTTAGTTGCAAATGTCAGAGACTTAATCGAACAAGTTTTCTAAAATGAGACACAGCATTAGTGAAAGCATCAAATGAAGTCGCGATAGAAATTGCTAAGCAAAAACAAAAAACAGTAGGATAAAATTTCATCAAACCCTGCATGTTGAAGATGGTGAAATTAATTCTTGGGGGTTCCAGTGCAATAAAGATGCAACAAGTATCTCTGTCTAATATACTATTCAACGGCTTATAGCAGCCATTTCCTTGGATGGTTATAGAACAAATTTTTAATGTAATCAAGCTTTCACCATTGTTTGATTTTCAAGTTGATGAATAAACAGATGTAAGTTCGTATTCGCAGTTGTTTGTCTTTGTAAAATATATTCGTTCAAATGATAGGAAAGAAGAGTTGCTTTTTAGTGAAAATATCATGGAGAAAATAAATACGTTTTTTAAAGCTGGATGATTAAAATGGGAAAACGTCTGTAGGACTTGTATGGATGGTGCGCTATCTATGTTTGGGTCAAAATCGGGCTTTTAGAAACTGATAAAAGATTTAGCTGCCTAACCCACGGGAAATCTACTGCACGATTCACCGGTATGCCCTCGCCAGTAAGACTCTTCAGACACCATTGCTAATAAACGTCGTAAATTATATTAAATCTGAAGTCCTAAACACACGTCTGTTTAAAGAACAGTGCAAAGAAATGATAAAGATCACGAAGTTCTGCTTTTCTTCACTACAGTACGTTGGCTGTCAAAAGAAAATATTGTGAATTGCGTTTTTGAATTGAAAGATAAAATAAATCAAGATGTTCTTAGAAGATCAACGGAAACAAGATCTTTTGATATACTTTGACGACAAAGAGTGGTTAGAAAGAGTAGCATATCTAGCAGATATATTCGAACATCAACATAAGCTTAATCTGAAGCTTCAGGGAAAATGAACGAATATTATCTGTTTTCGTGATAATCTCTTGGCATTTTTATCAAAACTGCAAATTTGCGAAGAAAAATACGTATTGGAAATATTGCCTTGTTTGAGAAACTCTGCAATGTGGTTGATGAATCTGATTGTGAGATAAATAAAAAAAAATGAAAGAGGATTCTGGGCATCTTGAATCTCTAGAAAACGAACAGTGGCGTTATTTTCCCTGTGTTGAAAGAATAAGAATCTGCCTTGACGCGTTACGTATTCTCTGCTTCCCTTGCTCAGTGTTTCTTCCAGACTTTTTCCGACAGGGGGGAGGGGTGGCGGGGGGATGTGCATTTGAAATTTGGGGGGGGGGGGGCGGACTAATTTATCCGGGGAGGGGGGGGGTCAGACACTGTTAAAAGTATATATTTTATATATTTTTTCTGTCGGGGGGGGGGGGAGGGGAAGAGATGACTGGAAGAAACACTGCCCTTGATCTTTCCAGCATTCCCGATGAATTATAAGATGAATTCTTGGATTTGCGGAGTGATTCCACGTCAGATGAAAAACTGTTCACGCAATTTCGGTGTAGTATACAGCTGTCACACCCAAACGTGAAATTGATTTCCCTTTGAGTTTTAGTTTCTTTTGTTCCAGCATATCTTTGCGAGAATAGATTTTCAAAAATTCTCCAATTAAAAACAAAACATAGAAATAAATAAGGTTGGCGTTAACAGAAACTCAACCGCGAATGTTGAGGCTAGTTAATAGCATGCAATTTTACTCATCGTATTAAAACAGTTATCAAGAATAATTCATATTGAAAGGCTACTGGAAAATTTTATTTAAGTGCTTATAATTTCCTTACTGATTTCGATTTTTTAAAATTCTAAGAAGGTCGCGGGTCACTTACTTTTTATAAAAGGGGGTCGCCACTTGAAAAAGTTTGGGAACCACTGCTGTAGATGTGATGGATTGGCAAACACTGACGAGAAGCCACGTAGATTGTTAACAGTACTTTATTCACACCATGAGGAAAGAGAGAGAGAGGGCGGAAGTCACGAGACACTTATATACATAAACATGTAAGGGACATCACTCAAGATAACAGTATAAATATAATACTAATACAGAAGAGTGAGTTCCCTTGACTTCACAAGTCTCACTATATTACACCCCTTTACCCTTAGTAAACACAACACATCTCTCAATAGAACAATTTACAGTATCCTAAAAATCACCAATTATATTGTAACATGAACACTATGGTAGATTACATCCTTACAACAATGCACAATATGTTACAACATAATTAAAATACAAACAATGATGTCAAAGTCCTTTTGACCTTTAAAATCATAGGTCTAACTTATTTGGGACTTTGATTGTCCCGTTTGACCTTCTCAGTGGCTTTTGATTTGGTGACTCAATATTCTGACCATTTGGATTCTCTATCTCAGGAGGTCTAGGATTTAAGTCATTAACTCCAGAATTTACATTTTCTGACTCCAGACTACTTGGTTCACTCATATCAACAGAACTTGGTTGTGGAACAAACTGAGTTGGTGTGAACTGATCAGATTTGGTGGGATTGATAGATTCACACTTATTATCTGCACAAGTTATTTTTAACTGGTCTGCATGTCTACGGACAATAAGTCCATCATTTGTTTTTACTTTATAAGACACAGGTCCTGTACATTGAACAATTTGACCTGGTATCCATTTTTCCTTTCTCCCATAATTCCTTAGATACACATTCTCATTATATCCAAATTCTCTTCAATGGATGTTTTGTCATGATTTACTTTTTGTGTATGTTGATGTTGGGAAACAGACCTTTGAACAGTTGGATGTAGTAGGTCAAGATGAGTTTTAATTTTCCTACCACATAGCAATTCGCATGGTGCAACATCTGTTGTTATATGAGGAGTTGTGCGGTATTTGGCTAATAACCTGTTTACTCTTTCATTGTCACATTTAGCTTCTTCTGTTTGGTATTTACTTTTGATGTTACCCTT